AAAAAAAAAACAGAAAAAAGCTTACAGCTTCACCAAGCTGCCTCTTCTGAATGTTTAGCTTTTCAAGCAGCCTGTCTGCGGTATCTTGTGCCATTACGAACATCTTATGCTCCTCATCAACCTGCATCTGGATCTCCTTGATCCGTCGATCCTTTTTCCTAAGAGCACCTTGAGTCTCTTTGTGTCGGCGTGTCTCTTCATCCAGTGCTGTTTCCAGATCACGTATACGTGTTTCTAGCTTTGCAATCACACGTTTTCCACCTAGCAGCGCTGCAGCTTCCGCTTCCTGGATCTGCACTTGCAATTGTTTCACCTAAAAACGGCTACTGATTAAAGCTGCTCATTAATTCGTTGCTGATTTGGAATTTTACTGTGGTCGGTGCACGAAGGAGAACAGCGGGTAGGCGCGAGTAAGCAAACCAGGAAATCTGTTATATATAGCAGAGTTAACGCCTAGGACGATATTTTGCATCAAATTATCGGAGTAGCTGGCCCAAAGAACTACCGTCGCCGATAGCTCGGGTTTTGGATTCTGTGGGAGGAGGGTCGCCGCAGCGGTCGCCCAAACTATCAGTTGTGTGTTTTTGTGGCTGTTTAGCGGTAATTAGGGCTGTGGATAGCCAAGTGGCGTACTCCGTGTAAGAGTATTCTTTTTTGTTGGTTATCGGGTCTAACAATTTTCTACGCTTCTAGCACTACAGAAATACTTCAGGATAACAGCATGAAGCTGCTGATGCTGCAGGTACTGCCTTTTGGTATCATCAGGACGGTCGGAAGCCTAGAGGTGAGGGAACCATTCAGGAGTGCCTGGAGGTAGAAGTGGAAAACTCATTTGGGAAAGTTATTTTGAGCACTCAGCTTTCGGACTAGATGATACAGTATGAACTGTTAATAATGTAATGAAAATTGTCGATATACAATGCTGACTGGTCTTGCACTCTGTACTGGTGAGGAAATGCGTATGCTTATTCCTCTTGTAGCGCTCAGCCTTCTCACTTAACTCTGTTTGTCACCACACTAGTTCTTTCATCACTGCAGCAGAGTTGGTTCTGACCTGCTCTTCCAGTGATTTTCTCAGGGCATCAATCTTCATGGAATGTTCCTGTTCTTCGTGCAACTGTTCGACGGCTCGTGCTGCATCGGCTAATGCTCGGTTGGCGCGTTCGTCGGCTGCGTGCAGTTCCTTGGTCACCTCATCCAAATCAGCTTGAGCTGTTGATAATTCTGTTTCTAGTTTATTCTTTATTGCTGTCAGATTGTTATTCACTGATACTAAATCAGCAATACGACTCTGAAAAAAAAGTGTAAGTTTTTAGTTAAAAAAGAAACGGAAGACTGTGACAAAAAAAGTAAACAGAGATTAGATTTAGTACCTACATTGGTGTGCACTGGAGCTACAAAATTTGTCGAGCTTAATACTGAAAAGTTAAACCATATATGTCTTTCCAAGTCCAAAAAATCATTTCTCCAGCTTCGCTTCAGACTACTTCACTGTTGAAAGGAAGAGGTATGTGACGAAGGGCTGAGAACGTGGGAGACGTATGAAGCTGTAGAATCCAAGTGACAGAAGGGATTTCAAGAGAATCGTAAAGTTGAATGTTGACGAGGATGAAAAAGTGAGAAATGATTGCTTTTGCCGGTATGACAAATGTGAGAAGTAGAATTCTACTTAAGAAAGGTGCAGAAAATTCCAAAACAGCTTACATTAGCTTCTTCGAGATCAAGTTCGGCTTGTTTACGTGCACGAATTGAATTATCGAGCGCAACCTTGCATTCCTCCAGCTCGGCGCTGAGTGCGGACACCTTACGTTGTGCCAAAGCATACTACAAGAAACAGGGATTTGACGTAAAAACATGCCATTAGAAAACAAATTTTTTGGTAATTCGATCATTTCTGTATTACATCGAAGATGTAGTTAAGTCATAGGTTATGCGAAAAATTCTTGCTAATTACTAATTTTTTGCACACAATTAGTAGTGTTTGAACACTTAGTATGTTTCGTTAATGAAATTTTCTTCTGTAAAAGCAAATTTAAGAAGCTGAGCATCGACTATCCTCAACTTTATATAAAAAAGCACTTCCGCAGGTGTTTTTCCAAAAAACTGCTTTTTAGACATTTTTCTCCAACAAAGTGATAAATTTAAACTTTTCCGAAGTAATAAATACTGTGTTAAACTGCCGCATTTTTTCAACCTCTTCAGTTGGGAAAAGACTGCTGTATCTCCAGATTTCAAAACTGGAGAACAAAAAAGGCTTTTTCTGTCTAACTCCGTAGTCCAAACACAATTTTCCACCAAAGCATAGAATACCTGATCAAGAGTTTGCTGCAACTGGCGCTGGGTGTCTTCGAGTGATGCCTGCAGTACTTTGAGTTGCTCACTTTGCTTCTTGATTGTTTTCTGTGCTTCAATATTTGCGCGATTCAAGTTGTCAACAGTCATTTCAAGTTCCGCGATTTCAGCCTGATATTTCTTCTTCAGGCGCGAGATCTCGGCCTGCAATAAAGGGTAACAATGTACGGATGGGAGTTTGTGAATTAAAGGTCAAAAATAAAGCGACAAAGCCCGGATAAGTGCGCTGTGTCCTAAAGTGCTCACTTAATGCAAGATGTCGCCACTGTTATAGATGTTGTCTGAGAAAAGCAAGAGCATTAATGGAGAGAGCGTTGAAGTGATTGGCTAATTCGCTGCAAATGGCTGAACAAGCCGATCGCTCGAATGTGCAAAATGACACGAGGCAGAGGAATGGACCTCTCAGTAACACTAGCTTCACGCCGCTTGTCCAAACGCTTTAGGTGGAACATGATAACTTCGCGCTATACCAACACGTGTGATTGGCAAACCGTTCACGTTCGTGCGCTGTCAGAGTGGTCTCTGACAGTGAGCGTTGTCTTTGAGGTGCAGACTTGCGCAGGTAACTTTATTTCTTGTTTCCAGATCGCAGTTTCAAATTGTGCAGCTTTGCTACTCACCTTCATACGAGCTTCAGCATCAGCCAACGCTGCAGTGAGGCGATCAATTTCAAATTGCATATTTTTACGAAGCGCTTCCATTTCTTCTTCCTGCAAATCGAAGACTACGACACACAGATTTTAGAGGATCACACAGATTTTTAAAGTTTTGCCTTTCTGTGATAAGGTATTGTAAATGGCCATTTGCTGTATATGCTAGAAAAGTAAATGCAGGCCTTCGCCATAATCTACTTTTTCTTGTTCTAACAATTCAAACAATAAGACGGCTTCGCTTGCCTGGCTCCTACCTCTTTTCTCACTACTACTAAATTTTCCTTCCTTTGAGAGCCAGCATAGCTTGCTCCGTTCTGAAGTCATAGCATCTATCTTACTTCATCGTATAATCTAGAAAGATGATATGGTTTTGTGCTGTTTTTGTATCATTCACCTCGTCGTACGCTAAATAACTAAAAGTTAAAAAATTCAGATTTTTCAGTCTGCTTTTTTATGAATTAGCATGAAAACTGTGATCGCGCGCCAAGACACTACGATACTTGAGTATTGTTTTCAAATTATACGCTTTGAGTTTTCTTATAAGTTTGTCCCATCGAATTTCTAAATAAATTGTTTAGACCTGAGGTCATAAATTAAATTTCAAATCCAGAACTGCTGCTAAAGCGAAAAATTTCATTCTATGATTTGCGTCACCGCAAGCTCAAGATCA